AGATGCTATTGTTTATGGGATTGAATATGTCCACAAAGGTAATAAAAAAAGCTTTAATGCATCACATATGATAATGCTTGCAATATGAAATGTTTTCTTTATGTTGTTCCATCTAGATGTATCTGTTGCCATAAGGGAATGTCCAGTGTGCTTCAATTATGTAAGATTCCAGGAGTATTCTTTTGGATTTCATAATTTTAACAACCGCGTGTTTTTGACAATACCCCTCTGTCAAATGCTGCTGGCTGGACTTGCTGTAAGTATCTTTCTAATAATATTGTCATTGCTATTATTGTCATTGTTTTTGTCTAAACAATTACAAATATTTCAGAACAAAACCACACCAGGCCGTATGTTGGACACCATTACTGGTTATAATGACAACAAATACCATCACCAAACTGTGAGAAGTGGTTTTCACCACTTCTTGTCAATGACAGATTTTGAGTACACGTTTTCGTGTGTGCGATGTGGTCATGATCCACCTGTTGTTATTGGAGATGCCAACTGGAAGCTTGCATTTGATATTCCAGGTAAATCCATCCTTTTATGTTTTGTGCTTTTCTAATACAAATATTCCAGAAATGGTGGTACTAATCTACTACTCTATACATAGTTTCAGATAAGCAACTTAACTCAGATAAGCAGCACACACAGACGCGTACACAGCCTGAGACACACACACAAGATTCATTGTATGTAACATTTCATTATTTATTTATTGTTCATTTGGTTGGGACAGTACATGTTAATGAACACATCACTCCGGATTGTAGCCATGGGCTATTCTGCATCCGTTGTCCCAAATTCACACTCACAAACACACACTCATTCACCATATCAACAGTTACACTGAATAATATAATTAGAAATGCTCTTTGTAAACTTCCATTTGCCTGATAGTATATAGATATTGTGGACTTTTTTTTATTACAGTTAACTTTAAAAATATCTATAAAAGAAATATCCCTTGTTTTTCAGTCGGCACCTTCAAAAGGCCTTCAGCTGACAGGATTCAGGATAATGATTTGGAGATCAATATTGAAAAGGCCTGGTCCGATCTTGATAAATGTCTTATTGCTGAAGGCCTTTTATCTGGTAAATTCTCTTATAATAATATAAGACACTATTCAAGACATACTAGCTTTAACTTTCAATTTCAGGAAGTACCAAAAACCCATACAGTCCCTCAGCCCAATGCACCTTTATTTTGGCACCGTGGATGGGAAGAGGAACCAGGGTTGGAGATGTTCTGCCTAAAACAGAACATCTGAAAGCCCTGAAGAAGAGACAAGATAATGTAAAAGTTCCTAAAGTTTCAATTAACGAGGACTCGATTCTTGACCTATTGGCATCCAAAAAGGTTAATACTGTGACATAGAGTTGTACTGGCCCCTGCTGAATTAGAAAATGAACGTAACATTTTGATGTTTCGACATTTTGATGTTTCGACATTTTCTCCTGTGTCATAAAAAATTAGCCTGCAAAGAACAGCCTTAAGGACGCTTGTCTGGCCTTAGGTGTTTCTTCCGAAGGCTCCATCACCGATCTACTTAACAGGCTCGAGGAGCCCCTACCCCAAGGTGTTCATCAAATTACAGAAAGCCGGAGGTAGCATCTGATTTCATTACATTTTTAATACATATATATTTTTAGATATATTGTCCTTTTCATAAAGTATGAAATGTTTTCAGGTGGTATTCTACATTTCTCATGTCCTCACGGCGTAGTGTACTACGTGAATTTCCTGTTTTGGAAAGAATCTGCAAGGGACCACACAGATGGTCTGCTCATATGCTACATATCGGACATTGCTTTCCAGGTTGCCAAACACACAAACAATAGGACAGAACAGCGGTTCTTTCAGCCGCATGATGGCCGTTTGTGTGCTGCAACAAATGAAAACATTGAGCATGCCAAAAATAAGATGCTAACCATGAACATGGATTGGGTTAAACACTTGAGATACCCCTCACAAATATACGAAAACCAAAATTTAGAAAGGGTGGCCACAGCACACCCTGTCACAAAAACCAGCGATCGGTATTCATTATATGACCGTTTCCATCAAAAAAATCAGAAACGCCCAGAAGAAATCCTCAGGAGCTTGAATGTCTGTCCTGCACTTCGCACAGAAATTAATTCATCTGTGGCCGAACAGCTCAACCGACAACTGTCTTCGGTCAAATATTCCTTGTGCAAAATGAACGAAGGACATTTCAAGCAAATTGTGAGAGTGTTGATTGACTGCCACAACAGTAATATTAATCAAAAATTCAGAACTCAAATAGAGTCCACATGCAATGTGGCACTCACAGTTGGATTGCATGGAACACTGGGGTTAGAAGGTAAAAAGTATGTTATATACATGAAAACGTTACACAAATCTTTTAATATATTCTGATTCTGATCAATCAAGGTGGACCCAGTGCTTCAGTGAAAGTGCAACAAAGCACACTAAGCAGCAGCAACAGCCCGCTAAATTCCTCCTTCAATGAACAGGAGTACGCCATCACAGACAGTGACATCTATGGTAGTGGACATGTCTTATGAAATTTCTTAAACATGTATTTTTTTAAAAGGATACATTGAGGAACTGTGTCGCCACTCCAAGAGATCAGAAGGATATTGTGGCTATATTAAATCCAAGAATCTTTCTTGAGTACAGAGATATGTGCAGCTTATGTCCACCTGAACTTCTGACAGAGGTTAGCCACAAAATGCCGTGGTTGACAGATGATGTGAGTGTCATAATATATGAGTTGATTGTAGTTATTGAGTTATTACAATTCTCACATCTTGGTCACAAACACTGAATGTGTCATCCAGGCTGTGAACTATCGAGTGGCTCAACTTGCAAAGCAATACAAGGTAAAAAAAAAGATAAAGAAAATAAAACAGTATTAACTACTGTAATTTAAACTCTTTTTTTTTTATTTTAAAGTGTGGATCACTTGCCACATATGACTATATTTTGTGGCATCGACAGTGGACCAAAAAGGGTGCTGTTAGTTACTCTGCCTCCAAAAACATTCCTGTAAATATACATTTCATGCTTTGTAATACAGTCCTTGACTCTTCGGTCTTGTATTGTACTCATGTAACGTTTTCTCAAATAATATTTAGGTGTCAGATCTTGTCCTCCTGCCGAGGATAGTTGGCCACGCGTCACCTGAAACAGGAAACCACTTCATACTTTGGGTAAGTTCATAAAAAATATTTATTCCCAAAAAAAACAATAAAGTTATTAAATTGTAATTGTTCTATAACCGATGTAACAATATTTTTCTATATAGGTGTTTGACTTCATAGAGCAAAAAATCCGTGTGTATGACTCACTTTCCATGCATGAGCAAATACATAGAAAAGACATGGACATTTTAAGGTACTGTAATAGTGGTTGCATTACAATCATTGGTATCTCGATAACTTTTTATTTTTCTTTGAAAGGAATGCATTTCGACTTGCTGGTGGTCTACGTGATTGGGAAGTTGAGTACCCCCACAATGGAAGCAGCAAGATTCCATGAACTGTGGTGTTTTCGTGTGTTCTGTGAGCTATGATATATGTAGTAAGTAGTAGTAAGTAATCTTTATTTATATACCGCCTTTTCACTGCAGATCTGAGTCTCAAAGCGGTTTACAATTGTTAATTTTTGGGCATTTGTCTCTCACTCCACACAGAGATGGGAGCGGGGCCAGTACAGGAGGTGCATGCCAGAACTATTGGACATATTTTTAGTGGTAGGGGAAACCGGAGTACCCGGAGGAAACCTACGCAGACACGGGGAGAACATGCAAACTCCACTCAGAAAGGCCCTGGTCCGACCGGGATTCGAACCCAGGACCTTCTTGCTGAGAAGCGAGAGTGCTATCCACTCAGCCACCGTGCCGCCCATAGTGTCATCGCCAATTATATCTTTAGCTGCCAGGAATAGATACAGGTTTTAGCTTTTTGACAAATTGATTTTTCTGAATATGATTATAAATTATGAAGGCCTACTGATATTTTAAGACTCCCAAAAATTCGGCAAATCAGCATTTACTTTAATAAAAAAAGAAAAGAAAAAGGATAATCACCTTTGAAACCACGCAACAACCACAGATCCAAACAGCATTTAAAAGATGTACAAACAAAACCTTGTAAATAACTCAAGAGTTTCCCACCCCAAAGGCACATCACTTAGATATCAGGTATAAATAAAATCTCTAGACAAAAAAAATATATAGAAAAGAAATAGTGCCAAGAGGGTGAAGGGCGCCCAGGGGGGAGGGGGGGAGAGAGAGAGCGAGAGAGAGAGATGAAAAAGATTACTACAAGAAAAGCATTCAGTGCATGGTAACTACATTCAAAACTATCGTGTATGTGCATGGTGAAAAACGTTGGGCAATTTGTTTTCTCAATGTAGTATTGAAATGAGAAGCACAGATCTGTAAATGAAAAAACGTATTCGATCTCAGAAGCAAGAAAGACAGGAGTTTCTATTTGTTAACATCACATGACATACGGCATGACTAATTTTTCACTCATTTATGATATAAAATTGGTAATCAGATTACTAAGATGCTTAAACCTAGAGGTTTTTAACAGCAGGTGGGATTTTAGCCACCGGAGACATGTGCCTTCTGGTTAAACAATCATATCAACCAAATTACTGTACTTATGATTTAATCTAATAAAGCATACAATTGACTGAGCTGATACAATTGGATACTTTTCTTGAAAAGTGAGTGATCAGTGAAGATATATTGTGAAATACATGAGAAAAATTGCACAAGAGTAGTACATTGATTGATATGTTTTCCGAATTGTTCTCTACAAGATCTTCTTGAAATCCACATTTTTCTCCCGATTTAGATGCTCTGCTGATTCCCATGCAACTTGAGGGCAGCAGTCTGTGCGTGTGTCACAGGGGGATCCGTTGGAAGAAGGAGGGAATTGAAAAGAAAATAGTTTTCAAAGTTCCCTTAACAGGGCTTTTAAGGGCCCGAAGGCAAAAATCACTGCCAGGATTGAGGTGGGAAGTTGTTCACCTCTGCCAGGTCTTGCACAGGTGAGCCTTTGTGGGTGTAGGTTAACTTGATCCTCATTCGTAGGTGTTGCTTCTGTGGATTGAGGACTCTGATGACCTGTGTTACGGTTCCCTGGTTTAATGCCGGAACAACATTACTACTTGGTGAAAGGAGCTGCAGCTGAAACGTCTTTGGTACAGCAGCTTGAAACACAAAGTCAGTCATTTCTGCTTCTGTCGTGTTGGAAGCATGAATGGTGATGACGGCAATGTTTGGATTGGGGTTAGCCCTCTCAAATGTGAAGTCTATCTTCAAACCATTCTTGTTGTATGCCGTCATGGAGGGAATACCTGCAGCAGCAATGTCATTAAAAAGCGGCGGTGAGGAAAGGCCATCTAGAAGGAAAGGAGGCTGGGCAACTGGGAGAGAGGGAGCAGGAGGCACTGAATTGCTGCTTAGAGAGAGATCACCAAGCAGGTCAAGAAGCTCTCCACCTGCTGAAGCTGGTTTAGTTGGTAGTGTTGTCTGAATTACTGGAACGTCGTTACCACCAAGCAAATCTAATAAATCGTTTGCCTGGTTGGACGGCTGGCTAACTGGGGGTAGATGTTTAGGCTCTACAACAGAGGGCTCCGACTCTCCATTAGTTTGTACAATCTCTGTTGGGCCATTTGTGGAGGTTTTCTCCATGATGGGCATGCGTTCTAATAAAGCTGGCCTCATGTGGTCATATTTTTTGGCTATATGGCTAATATATGGCTAATTATTACTTTGCTCAATCTAAAAAGTGGTAGTGTTATTTTTTTTAAAATTTGTTTGTGTAGGCAGCTGAAAATGAGGTCATGAGAAGACGTGTGTCTTCGGAACCCCTCACTATCATCCAGTGTAGTCTCCTTAGATTACACCACGGAAGTGAAATGCTGAAATGTGACAACTCAAAGGTAATACTATAGACAGACAAGTTTACAGACAAACCTTTACCTTTACTTTACAATTTTTCACAATTCGTCCTGTGTTTTATCAAAGTAAAACGTTAAAAGAGGATCAATACACATTTTCAATATTCCAAAATGACCTTGCAGAACAAGCAACTCCAAGCTAAGACCCTCTGTGGCAGCCCTCTGTGTAATTTGGTCCTCTACCTTGCTAACCCAAAGTCTTTGAGATTATGAACAGTGTCGTCCAGCAGTCACCAACACAGATCAGGAGAATCAACAGTCAAAACACGAAAAGAATATAGAACACGTGTTGATAAATGTCCATACGTGTTGTAGAATGTTAAAGTGTCCTGGATCATCACCACATCCTTTTTGCTGGAAAATGTGTGAAAAGTATTTTAGCCAAGGTGTATGTAATCCTATGACATCATGTGTGTACATACAATGTATGCTACATAATATTATATTGTTGTTATAGGACATTTCATCAAGAATGGAGCCAACCAAAGATGGTGAAGACTGATGGAGTGAAAAATACGAGCAGAAAGTTGTGTAATTGGTTTAAGCTGTCTCTTAATACTTTGCATTCTTTTATAAAAATTCTATGAATTAATGTTCTTTCTTATTGTTCCATGTTTTTTTTTCTATTTCTAGCCAAAAAAGTTCAGCAGTGCTTTACTTTAGCTAATCTTTATTTGACATCAAATTAAAAACAATTCACTTCTGTCGAAGATTTATTTCATTTTTATTTCGGCAATTACTTATAAACTGAAAAATACATATGTATTATATATAATAATATATCATAGCATATTAATTTAAGGTAACCCACTAATGGAGAACTTGAGCTAGACTGTCGTGAGACAGGTTAGTTTTACCCTAGTGGTGATGCAAAATTAATCCTAATGCAAGATTACTATTGCAACAACACATAGTCATATATAATGAAATATATATTCATACATATTAAATTTGTATTTAATCTGACCAAAAAAAAAAATGACATGGTTCGGATTCGAACATTGAATCTCCCGCACTGTAGGCATTTTTAAACCATATACGCTACGAATAAGAACAATTCAAAGACGTTTAAACCATACAAAATAAATAAAATTAGGCCCTTGAACAATTTTATGCGGTAACTTATAATCTTACCCAAATAAAATTTTTTAAACAACTTATGGCACTTCTGACATTCTCCATGAAGTGTTTTGCCCAAGGACCCAACATCAGCAAATGTCATTGGTAGTCACTGTAGACTGTTGAGAGACAGGCTAGTTTTACCCTAGTGATGATGCAATATTAATTCTAATGCAAGATTACTTTTGCAACAACACATAGTCTATATATATATATATATATATATATATATATATATATATATATATATATATATATATATATATATATTATATATAAAATATGTATTCATACATATGAAATTTGTATTAAATCTGACCACAAAAAAAATGTCATTGTCTGGAATTGAACCAGGAATCTTCTGCATGAGAGGCAATTATAAACCAGGTACGCCACAAGTCTGTACAATAAGATTGTTTTTAAACCATCTATTATACATGAAATTAAGTCATTGAACAAATTTATGCAAAACTTATATTATAATATTACCCAAACAAAATTTTTCGAACAACTTATGGCACTTATAACATTCTTCATGAAGTGTTATGCCCAAGGACCCAACATCAGCAAACGTCAACGGTGATCACGAGGGATTCGAACTAGCTACCTTTGAGACGCCAGACCTGTGCTCTTCCATCTGAGCCACTAGATCACTAAATGCACTACTGCTGCTTGTTGTCTTTTGTACAGGCTGCTTTCAACAGTATTTATTCCCCACATCCCTTTTAAACGCCATTTATTCCCCACATGCCGTTTTAAACGCCACTTGTTGTCCACATGCCGCTGTACACGCCACTTCTTGTCCACATGGCGATTTAAACGCCACTTATTCCCCAAATGCCGTTTTAAACGCCGCTTGTTGTCCACATGCCGTTTTAAACGCCACTTGTTGTCCACATGCCGTGTTACACGCCATTTATTGCCCACATGCCGTTTTAAACGCCACTTGTTGTCCACATGCCAATTTAAACGCCACTTATTCCCCACATGCCGTTTTAAACGCCGCTTGTTGTCCACATGCCGCTTTACACGCCACTTGTTGCCCACATGCCGTTTTAAACGCCACTTCTTGTCTACATGCCGATTTAAACGCCACTTATTCCCCACATGCCGTTTTAAACACCATTTATTGTCCACATGCCGTTTTAAACGCCACTTGTTGTCCACATGCCGCTGTACACGCCACTTCTTGTCCACATGCCGATTTAAACGCCACTTATTCCCCACATGCCGTTTTAAACGCCGCTTGTTGTCCACATGCCGCTTTACACGCCACTTGTTGCCCACATGCCGTTTTAAACGCCACTTCTTGCCATCATGCCGATTTAAACGCCACTTATTCCCCACATGCCGTTTTAAACGCCACTTGTTGTCCACATGCCGTTTTAAACGCCACTTGTTGCCCACATGCCGTTTTAAACGCCACTTCTTGCCCACATGCCGATTTAAACGCCACTTATTCCCCACATGCCGTTTTAAACGCCGCTTGTTGTCCACATGCCGTTTTAAACGCCACTTGTTGTCCACATGCCGTGTTACACGCCATTTATTGCCCACATGCCGATTTAAACGCCACTTATTCCCCACATGCCGTTTTAAACGCCACTTGTTGTCCACATGCCGCTTTACACGCCACTTGTTGCCCACATGCCGTTTTAAACGCCACTTCTTGCCCACATGCCGATTTAAACGCCACGTATTCCCCACATGCCGTTTTAAACGCCGCTTGTTGTCCACATGCCGCTTTACACGCCACTTGTTGCCCACATGCCGTTTTAAAAGCCACTTCTTGCCCACATGCCGATTTAAACACCACTTATTCCCCACATGCCAATTTAAACGCCACTTATTCCCCACATGCCGTTTTAAACGCCGCTTGTTGTCCACATGCCGCTTTACACGCCACTTGTTGCCCACATGCCGTTTTAAACGCCACTTCTTGCCCACATGCCGTTTTAAACGCCACTTATTCCCCACATGCCGTTTTAAACGCCGCTTGTTGTCCACATGCCGCTTTACACGCCACTTGTTGCCCCCATGCCGTTTTAAACGCCACTTCTTGCCCACATGCCGATTTAAACGCCACTTATTCCCCACATGCCGTTTTAAACGCTGCTTGTTGTCCACATGCCGTTTTAAACGCCACTTGTTGCCCACATGCCGTTTTAAACGCCACTTATTCCCCACATGCCGTTTTAAACGCCACTTATTCCCCACATGCCGTTTTAAACGCCGCTTGTTGTCCACATGCCGTTTTAAACGCCACTTGTTGTCCACATGCCGTGTTACACGCCATTTATTGCCCACATGCCGTTTTAAACGCCACTTATTCCCCCCATGCCGTTTTAAACGCCACTTGTTGTCCACATGCCGCTTTACACGCCACTTGTTGCCCACATGCCGTTTTAAACGCCACTTCTTGCCCACATGCCGATTTAAACGCCACTTATTCCCCACATGCCGTTTTAAACGCCGCTTGTTGTCCACATGCCGCTTTACACGCCACTTGTTGTCCACATGGTGATTTAAACGCCACTTCTTGCCCACATGCCGCTTTACACGCCACTTGTTAACCACATGCCGTTTTAAACGCCGCTTGTTGTCCACATGCCGCTTTACACGCCACTTGTTGCCCACATGCCGTTTTAAACGCCACTTCTTGCCCACATGCCGATTTAAACGCCACTTATTCCCCACATGCCGTTTTAAACACCGCTTGTTGTCCACATGCCGCTTTACACGCCACTTGTTGCCCAAATGCCGTTTTAAAAGCCACTTCTTGCCCACATGCCAATTTAAACGCCACTTATTCCCCACATGCCGATTTAAACGCCACTTATTCCCCACATGCCGTTTTAAACGCCGCTTGTTGTCCACATGCCGCTTTACACGCCACTTGTTGCCCACATGCCGTTTTAAACACCACTTCTTGCCCACATGCCGATTTAAACGCCACTTATTCCCCACATGCCGTTTTAAACGCCGCTTGTTGTCCACATGCCGTTTTAAACGCCACTTGTTGCCCACATGCCGTTTTAAACGCCACTTCTTGCCCACATGCCGATTTAAACGCCACTTATTCCCCACATGCCGTTTTAAACGCCGCTTGTTGTCCACATGCCGTTTTAAACGCCACTTGTTGTCCACATGCCGTGTTACACGCCATTTATTGCCCACATGCCGTTTTAAACGCCACTTCCTGCCCACATGCCGTTTTAAACGCCACTTGTTGCCCACATGCCGATTTAAACGCCACTTATT